AAAAAGAACTGGGATTTACTTGTGAAAAACTAGGGGCAGGAAAATTTGCATAGAAATAAAATCCTCAGTTCAAATGTATCAACTCTCCAAATTCTTATGACCACTACTAGGTGTTATTTTTTCAGTCCAAAGATCAAGTCTACATTCCACCAACATATTTTATTAAAATACTGCATACTTACAGTAAGAAATATAACCAGCTGGATTGAAGTAACTCAGTATTTACTTTAAAATGAATATACACAAATACAAATATCTAAAATAAAACATGTATCCATTACCAAAAGTACTCAACTTAATAGATAGAGGTTACATATCAAACGGTGGCATTCTGGTAGCTTTGAATGGATAGCTCTGCAAAGTTTACCAGTCCTCCCTAAGTCCATTCTTATTAAACAGCTTTGGTTGGAGTATGATTCAAAATAAGTGAGGGAGATTCAGTATGATGAGGTGAGGAGGTTGACAAATCATTCCCACTTAAAAAAAAAAACAAAACAAACTATGAAGTGGAATAAAAACCATTACAGCACTCTGGAACTAACTAAAGACCTGTAATAAACTAAGAAGTGTTTATTCATGAAAATCACTGAAATTTGGTAAGAGCTGTGTGAGTCTGTGGTGCTGTGCTCTCACTTCCCATGTCAGAACTTGCTGCCACTGTCAGAAGGGACTTGCTTGACCTCATGCAGAGTGAGTCAAAGTGGTGATCTCCATGCTAAGCACACAGAGTTATCTAGACTGGGGGTGCAGTCCTGTCTGGGGCAAACAAGGTAAGAGTAGCAAGGTATTTCACTGGAAGTTATGGGAGGTAAGACAGCCATCTGGAGTTGATAAGCACTCCATATACTCCAGATTTACCAGAGGCATGCAGAGTAGAAACTGAAGCTGGTTCAAACCACCCACGTATCCATGGTTGCCAAGGCGTGCACATACACAAAAAAGGAGAAGCAAAAAGCCTGCTAGAAAGCAAAAATCAGAGCAGTCTTGAAAATGACCCAAATGTTGAATGGACTTGCAAGCCCACACAGATCCATCAGCAGAGTGGAAAGCCTGAATGATGCGGTTTGAACACAACTTCTGTCCAATCTTTGCCTAAATGCTAAGCTAGGCAGGCACAGCAGCAACCCTCAGGAAGCAAGATTTTAAAAATTTTAAAAATGAACAAGAGACATCAATGGCTGCACACTGTAGTAGAGAGGGACTTCATAAATTAACTGGAGGCAAGTTACTGTTACTAAATCAGAATCCATAATTGCTACATTATCTGTAATTCAACAAGATTACAAAGCAAAGAAACAAGAAAGTATGACCCTCACTAAGGAAGAAAAGCATTACATAAAACTGCCTGAGTATTTCCAGATGGTAGATTTAGCAAAGATTTAAAAGCAGCTCTATGAACATGTTCAAAGAACTAACGGAAGCCATGTTTAAAGAATTAATGAAAACCATGATGAAAATGATGCAATGCAAGAAGAATCTCAATAAAAAGATACAAAGTAAATGAACGAATTGAATGGAAACTTAGAGCAGAAAAATATAGTACCTGAAATGGAAAGTTCAATTAATTTGAGATGGCAGAAGAATGAGTGAATTTAAGAATCAACAGAAATCATTCAATCTCAAAAGGACAGGGAGAAAAAACAATGAAGAAAACAAAGCCTCAGAGACCAGATTAACATTAAATGTACCAACAACACATGTAAGGAGAATCCCAGAAGGAATAGATAGAAAAGGACAAATACATGTATTTGAAGAAATAATTGCCAAAAATTGCTTAAATTTGATGAAAAATATTAATCTACACGTGAAGCTCAATAAATCCCAACTAGGAAAAACATGAGATCCATACCTAAACACATCATCATAGTCAAACTGGTAAAAGACAAAGAGAAAACAAAACAAAACAAAACCTTGAGATCAGCAAGAGAAAAAAACCTATCACAAAAGGAGACCAGAATTACAATTAACATATGACTTCTTAACAAAAAATAATAGAGGCCAGCAGTCTGTGGGATAACATATTCAAAACGAGTGAATAAAAAAAAATGTCAACCACGTATTCTATAGCCAGCAAAACTATCCCCCCTCAAAAAACAAAGGCAAAATAAAAAACATTCTCAGCAAAGACTGAAGGAATAAAATTATATAAAGCACTAGTTACATCACTGTATTGTTGAGTTGCTGTAACATGCACAGATATAACATATGAAAATAAGGGCACAGAGAAGAAAATGAGATCTACTGAAATAAAGTTCCTCCATTTTACCAGAATTAATGCAGACTGATAAGATGCACACAGTCATCCCTAGGTCAACCACTGACATGTAACTCAAAAAAGGAAGAACACAAGGATCTCTTCAGATATGAGAAACAGGAAACAAAAAGCACAATGGGAGATGTAAAGACAATTTATATCAATACTAAATTTGAATGAACTAAACACTCCATTCAAATAACAGAGATTGTCAGACTGGATCAAGAAAGCAAGATAAGGGAACTGTATTTAGAATATGTATCTCTTACAACATGTAATAAGACAAACAACCCAAAATTAATGGGGTGGTCTGAACGGACATTTCTCCAAAGAAAATATACAAATGGCCAATAAAAAAGGAGAGGATGCTCAATATCACTAGTGTAGATAAATGTAAATTAGATCCATGAGCTAATATTTCATTCACACTAGAATGGCTTTATCAAAAAGAGAGACTATAAGTACTGTAGAAGATGTACAGAATGATGTAGATGCAGTTCATCAGGTTCTCAAAAAGGTAAACAGAAATTTACTACATGACCTAGCAATTTCAATATTAGAAGTCTATCCAAGAAAAATAAAAACATGCATCCACACAAAGACACATGTACATACATACATATATACCAGAGAGGGGGAGAAGGAAGAAGAAAGGAGAAAAGAAAGGGAGAAAGGGAGGTGGGCAATTAACAAATGGGATGGTGTATCTGGACCAAGGGTATATAGGAGTTCCTTTTATTATTTTGGTAACATTTCTATAAGTTTGAAATTAGATCAAAATTTAAAATTACATTAAAAAAAAGAGAAAAGGATATTGTATAGCAAACTCCCTCTATCAACTTCTTCAATGAAGACCATATACAGCTTAAAAGTTATTAGAAAACTGTAGATAATTTTAATAAAATCACTTCAAGAATATAATTTGGTTGTAAAACCAATACAATGAGCTCTAAAATAATTTTTCTATTGAGTTAAATAAAGTCATCTGTAAATCCTGTAACAACATGTTCATATTCACAAAATCTGAATGAAAAGCAAACACAACTTTCCATTTCTAACACAGGGTAATCCAAAGTTCACTTAGAAGGTACTGAGATTTGGGGTTAATTTTTCTTTCAATACCAAGCACAATTATGTAGTTATTCAGAATTTGAAGTGAGTTACTTTTTATTTAACAAGATACTTGCTGCTTTGAAATAAATTTAATTAGTAAGAGTGATAATGATGTTAAAAAAAAAAAAAGACAATGAAAATGCAAGCTGCATTTCTAAAAGATTATAATCATTTAAATTCTGATGATAGCTATATGTTTACAATTCTCTACTCTTTGACAGACAAAAACAAAAACAGAACTATTTTCTATATGGACAATCTGGAGCATAATTAAGTGCTTCCTAATGAAGTTTCCACTGACCTATATAGAAATATGGTTCACCAACAGCCAAATGGTATCATTTCTTTATCAAAGGTAAGTGGAACCAGCTAAACACAAAGACAATCCTTCTACAATTTTACTCTGCCAAGTACAAAATACTTCCCAAGAGCCCAAGGCACAATTTTAATTCACATCTGGTAAAGGAACCACCCATAAAATCATTACTTATTTTCAACTTAATAACTGATTGACATTGCTCAAACCAGCTGTTTTCAATCCTAATAGTTCTTTATTTTCTTTAACATATTTGCTATGGGCTGATAATCTGCAATAGGTGTCATCATGAGAATAACCAAAATTAGATTAAATGTGACAAAAGATTAACATAGAGTTTCAGACCCTTAAGTGATGATACTAAGTCAAGAATGGGAGAAAAGCATTGCAAAAGGAGACTACTGAAATGCTACTTATATATTCTTGCAGTAAAACCAGCAATGCATCCATTTTAAGAGTTATCATCTCACTTCCAATTTCTTTCCCTCAAGAACAATTTGAATTTCTTTGGCATCCAGGGTCTCATAGGTTAGTAAAGCTTCTGCTAGATTCTTATGCTCTTTTGCATGAGTCTTCAAGATGTGTTTTGCTCGTTCGTATGAGTCCTGAAATGGAAAAAGCAGGTATCTAAGAGGCAGAAAGGATAAGCAAAAACCATAAATAAGAAACAAACATTCTATTCTTAACCTGAAAATCTATCACATGGATAACTGAGGACTACTTAGACAAGGAGCTACTTAAAGATATAAAAGTACACATTGTACTTACTTTTAAAATAAGGTCTGTGAACAAAGAAATCTACTTCTCTATTCAATATACATGTGTAAAAAGGAAAGGGAGGTTTTGTGCCTTTTACCTTGTGAGATTTCACCCATTTATACAATTGAAATGGCCAGAAAAGATCTACTTTTCTGTTCTTTTCCTTGGTAACAACTCACTGTCAGTCTGTGACAACATCAATTGACCAACACCAAAAAGCATAGGTAGGTCAAAAAAAATAACACAATTATTACAAATAGACATCATCAGACATTCTGAATAAAACTTTTATGTTCAAGTGAAATAATCAAAATCAAGGAAAGTATAAAGTAGTACAAATTATCATGGAATATTATAACTAATAATCAGGGATGAATTAGTAGTAACTTTAAAAATTCTGCTGGAATGAAACTCTTACATGGTACCATGTAAGACAACTATTAGGTTTTTATACTTTTAAGTTTCATATTATTTGAACCTAAAATGTTACAAACTAGTAATCACTTCCATTAATAACGACAAAAGTGTGCCATTTAGTGGAAAGAGTACCTTCTTGCCTTCCTAATCTTACCATTTCAGAAAAAGAATCCAACTTTTATTATGGTTTTTAAGTTTTCACAAATGTATTAGAGCAAAAAAGGAGTATTTCCAATGCTCTAGGAATACTAGAGTATAATTTACTCAAAATAACGTAAATAATAAAAGAAGGAGAATGAAGTTTCTGCGAAGGCAGAGGAACTTCCTGTTCTGAAACACCTTCTAAACTTTTCCATTATATAAACTTTTCGTATACTAAACTTCCTTAAAGCATTTCTTCTACCTTCTTGAGTTAATCAAAACCCGGTCATCCTAGAAGTGCCTGGGTGGCTCAGTTGGTTAAGCGCCTGACTTTGGCTCAGGTCATAATCTTGCAGTTTGTGAGCCTGAGCCCCACATCAGGCTCTGTGCTGATAGCTCAGAGCCTGGATCCTCCTTCAGATTCTGTGTCTCCGTCTCCTTCTGCACCTCCCCTGCTCATGCTCTGTCTCTCTCTGTCTCAAAAATAAATATTAAAAAAAAATTGTTTTTAAATAAATGCTGGCCCTCCTGGGGAGACTTCTAAGCCCTCAAGTGACAGTTATTAGTTCACTCTTATCCCAGACATTTCAGGGTAAAGAGCTGAGTTCTTTGTTCCCCTCACCATTGCCAGACCATTACATAAAGCAAGATTCCTTTGAAGTTTACACCATCTGACTATATAGCCCTATCCAATATCCTTCGTTTTGCTATCTCCTACCCTAATTATAGTTCTCATTCACTAGACACCTGGCATTAACTCAGTCTTGTCCATTCCAAAACGTGCCATCATGCATATCCAAATGGCATGCACATATCCAACCTCTACACTAAGCACCAGACCCATGTATCCTGCCCAACTTGAAATCTTCACATGAACAATGAAATGACATTGAATGTGAAAAGACATTTCACGTTCAACATGTATGAAACTGAGCTTGTGATCTACAAACTTCCCCCACCTGAGGCCATCATCTGCGTTTTCTCAGTAAACAGCACATACAACTATACAGCTACTGGGCATTTAAATAAAAAAGACTTCTGTTTTCAAAGACCTTTGTTCTTCATTCTCAGCACAGGCACACAGCTAACACAAAACAAATGATATTTGTTGAATAAAATATACATCAGAATGATACACCAATAAAGACTCAAATAACATCCCCCATTCTCACAGCACTATGGTTTCACAGCTAATGTAGAATATTTATAATTATTGATATAAACCATTCTTGGCCTATGGCCAGAATAAAACAAAGTTCCACTGTATGACCAGAGGATCCCAAATGACATATTAAAATCATAGTTGCAATGGTGCACTTATCTTTATTTTATATATATATACACGTACATATATATATATACACACACACACACACACACGCGTGTGTGTGTGTGTGTGTGTGTATATATATATATATAGTGACATTTCTAAACAATAGAGGACAACCAATATCCCTTGGAAGTATCTTACTATTTATGACTAGATAGATACATAAGCATAGAAAAATATGACTATTACCCTTAGAAGGATTCTAATTTCTTGTTCAATAGCAGATTGAGTTTCTGGACTCAGTTTCCCTGTATCACTGTAGGTCATAACTCCAAGCTAAAACAAATAAGAAGAAAGAAATTGAACAGAAAAACCCTAAACCACTAATAAATGTAACAGAGGAAGTATTATCCTATACTTAAGGAAACATTATAGGGAAAAGGAAGAAATTCAATATAAACACACCTTGAAGGCAAAGAAATTTCTTTATTCTTCTGAAAGTTTAAGACTAAATTAAAAGTATGAGCAAGAGAAAAAAATTAAAATTATACATGATTCTGAGTACCCTGTTAGAAAACCTTCACAGCTATTCCTAATCTAGAAATCCACAATGCAGTGTATTAGCAGCGCTTCATGAAGCCACAGTGATAATGTAGTAAAGTGAAATATGTGAAAACGGTAAAGTAAGAAAGCTGAGCAAGTAGGTGTTTTATGTCATACGAAGAGAAATAGAAGATCTCAACATCTGCTTAGCTCATGAAATACCACCTACTACTATCCAGGTAGCTAGAATGGAAGGAGAATACTAAACTTTATCACTCAGACAACGACATTCAGTTTAGAATAAGCTGAGATGGGAAAAGTATCAATTTATAATGAGAACCCTCTCTCACAAAGAGGCACTTGGCAAATTATCATTTGATCCATGAGGAAGGAAGAAAATGAAGTATTATAGGGGTGCCTGGGTGACTCAGTCGGTTAAGCATCAGACTTCGGCTCAGGTCATGATCTCACAGTACATGAGTTC